GAGGAGTAGGGATTGTGATGTGGCCATCCCTCCTGGGGAGGCGGGGGAGAGAATTTCTCACTTGCTGCTTCTCTGTATTACTCTCTCTCTGGTGAGCGCACGTGCCCTAGAGCCAAAATCTCTCTTTAAAAAAAAGAAAGAGAAATAAAGAAAGAAAGAGAAAGAAAGAAACATATCTTTGTCATCATATCTGAACATTTAAAACATCAGGTTATCTCTAAAAATATCCTTTATGTATCAGTACTAATTGTATCCCTTTCTGATGCATCACCTTAATATGTACCTTCATGCCTCTGCTTACTACTTATTTAAATTTGCTTCAGACAGTGGGAAATACTGTTTTCTCCACCACCTATGGAATTCAGATACCCACTTCCCAACTTCTTCGATCTTGGAAGGAGCAAGAATGTCCTTAAAAATGAACACTTCTTGGTCCAGTTAGGTGTGTGGTGTTTAATATTGTTGGATCCCATATGGCTGATGGGTGATTCAAATTCTGGGCACAGTGACTTGAAAAACAACAAACTCATCATCTCAAGAGGAGAATGGATAAGAAGGGATTTCAGGAAGGCCATTTGCTTGGGGGTGAGGGGGTGATTTCCTATTCTCTCACTCTTTTTCTCTCTTTCCAGCACACAGGTACTATAGCAAACTCAAAAACAAACAAACAAACAAACAAAACCTTAATTGTCCACTATATTTAACTGGAGTGTTGTTTTTTTTTTTAATTTTTTTTGAGCTTTCTACTATAGGGCACATATGTTCGCCAGAGAGAGACAGAGATAGAAAGTGAAAAATCACCAACCAAGGGGCATAGACACACCATAATCCCTTCTCGTCCATTCTCCTCTCCGGATCTTGGCAGGTACACACATGCATCTGGCATGAGTTTCAATCCACTGGGTTGCGGACTCAAACCGCAGTCAGCCATGTGGGAGTCCAGTGACGCAACCACTACACCATCTGCTGGCCCCAATTAAATGGAAAATTTTAAACTCAAAATTAGGCATTTCAATTCTTTTCTTATTTCTGCCTTTCTTAGTGTGTTTTCTTGATTCTTCTAACTGATCTAGGACTATAACATCGACTATCATTTACCTTTACATGTGAATGCTTGATTTATCATGATTTATTTATTAATTTATTTTAGAGGTTTTTGCCTTAAGGTGCACAGGCTCCCCAGAGAAAGACAGAGACAGTGAGAAGGAAAATGAGAAGTCAACCACCAGGCGAATGGCCATGCCACAATCATTTCTCACTTCTCCTCCTGGTATCTAAGGCACATGCACCTGGCATGATTTTCAAACCACTGTAGCTGGGACTCAAACTGTGGTCGGCCATGTGGGAGTAGAGTGATACAATTGCTTCACCATCTGCTGGCCCTGATGTATCATAATTTATGTCTTTTTTACACGTTATCTTGGTAGATAATTATCTTTGTTAAAGGCTACATAGGTCTTGTTTTAAGATATATCTCCAGTCTGTCATAAATGAATTCATTTTAAATTGCCTACTGTTATTTCCAACCTGCTTACTTGAAAAAGGTAAAAATTGCTCCTTAGATATCAGAGATTTTTGTACCCACTCTCATATTACATTCTAATTTGAAACAAATAATATTTGACCCATGTTTTATTCTTTTTTTATAAAATTTTGCCATTGGACATGTGTTATTCTTGAGATTTGTTTTAAAGATCATTGTCAGTAAGTATATATGGAGAGCTTTAAGTATTAAAAAAATTCAATTTATAAGTATTTCACTTAGAAAAGGTAGTCCTGATTTCTGAAAATCATGTACATTCTTTATCTTTTATATTTTTCAAGACTAAAACTTGTGTATGTAAACAGTTTCATAAATTTTTATTTTTTTGTTATTTATTCTGTTAAATACTGAGAATCTCATTAATTCAATACTTGTGAATGTTTATTTCCTTTTTTGTTTTATAGGTTGTTTTATTTATCATCATTCAATTCTTATCGTGTGCCATTCATTCTTAACTACAGCCATTTTCATTATCTTAAATTGATTGTTTCTAGATCTAGTCGTATATGCCTTTTAGTTGATTTTTTTTTTTTTTTTTGGAGAGGTTTTCGCTATAGGGCGCGTGCGCTCGCCAGACAGACAGAGACATAGAGACAGAAAGCGAGAAATCACCCCCCAGGGGGGATGGTCACGCCGCAATCCCTTCTCCTCCATTCTCCTCTAGGGATCTTGGGCAC